GCTAAACAAATTGATAACGAAGAGTGAATCTACGTTGAGGGTGTTGCCTTCGACGTCTCCCTTTCCGGTCTTAACTTCGACATACCTATATTATAAGGTTTTAAGTATTTTCTTTTTAGTCTTTGGAGGTTGTTATTATTATATTACCCACTATGTGCGATTTCGATTCGAGAAAGTAGTTTTATTGCCAAAACAACTTTATTTAAGGGAAAAAATTAAAGAAAAATATATAAAATGTATTTATTTTACAAAATGTCGTAAAGTATCGTATAATAAACATTGTATAACAATTTATTCAACGGCACATTTTTCTTGAAGGTCTTTGACTTTACTGCAGCGTCGATTGTCATGAAATTCTGGACATGACTGAAAAAAAAACGGCTTGATGACTGTGTGTACGATGTATTGTGAGGTCTGAATTAATATTATTTATGAACTTTAGTATAATAAATATATACTAAATAGGTTGGATAGGGAAAAACTTTAGGCTATGATTTTGTCCAATGCAATGCTACACTTTACTCACGTCATAATAAAGTCACACGTGATCTTGTTTAAAGCGCTTTTATCCCATGAAGTGAGATGATTTGAGCAAAAAATATCAACTAATTTCGTTCTTAGAATTTTTGAGCCTCTGCGCTAAATAGTTGTCATTTTGCATATGTGCCTTTATTACACTAAGGGTGAGATGTCATAAGTTTTGGTGCACTTAAACGAGGCTATCAGCGCAAAAGTTATTTTTTATAACATCAAGTGAAGGGATGAACAAGCCGTGCACCTGTGTCTCGAAAAGCAATATGGGGTTATATCACTTTTTCCGCTGATAGACTCAAATGGAATATTCGACAATGAAAAATTTAAAAATCGTTCATGAAACCAAACACTGTCTTAACTCAAACTTCTCGAATTGAGAAGACATGATTTGAAAGTTCGAAAAGTTACTGAATGAAAACAATAAATATATATACTCGTTTATGTTTTATGTTTTATTTTATTATTGTTTATGGATAACCAATATAATGTGCCGCTTGCAGTTCAAACCTTGGTTCACGGGGCTACACGCGAACTTCTAGCGAACGAGCTGTCAGGTCGCCTTGTAAAAGCCGACATGCCTGCAATGACGACAAGCCTGGCAGTTATGTCCGCCAAAGAATAAGTTTAGCTATTCAAAGGGGAAATGTTGCCTGCTTTCCGAGCACAACGCCCAAGGTACAGCACTCGAGGAAATTAATATATATATTAAATATTATAATTATATTATAAACATATATATACATATATATATGTAGATGGATACAGGTTAATGCCATTGTGACCATAATTTCACTTGGCAAGGTCAGCATGATGGAAGATGGTTTGAAAAAACTGAGGCAATATGTCTGCCGCGCAAAATGGACGGAGGGAAGTAGATCACCTAACGTTGCTATGTGATTAATTTAACCCATGAAAAGCAGGGTGTTCCATTTACAATAAAATTTACTACGTTTCCGGACAAATCTCAGCAATAAGTAAATAACATATACAATCGTGCGCGATTGAGCGCGCGTGTAAAGACGTCGGAAGGCAAAGGGCAAGACCGCACAATTGCGCATATCAGTCGCGTGCAATTGCGCGCTCCAGCACGCGCCATTTTTACGCGGTCTATCCTGCGCTTTTAGCTCTCTCTTTCGTTAGCTTAAAAATTTTCAAACAGGTAATCGCGCACGATTGCGCATGCAGGCTTTCCCGCATGCAATCCTGTGCGCTCCTGATCATGCGCAATAGAGTGACTGTGTAAAGGGGGCTATTGTCATACATAGTTTATTTTTCAGTAATATTTAGCATATACTTTTATATACGTTTTTATATACGTTTTATATTTTATATACGTTTATTTAGCATATACGAAATAACTAAATATTATATTTATATAAAAATAATCACATTATTCCCAGGCGCGGTGTTCCCAGGTTCTTACCTGGAAACACCGTACATTCGCATATTTTCTTTTAATTCTCAAATAATTAAATATTTTATTTCACCACCATGATATTCAATTATTTTTGTGAAATGACTCGACTAATTCTGTTATAATTATTAATACAAAGATCGGACACTTAGAAAAAATTCTTTTAACTGTGCTTGTTATTGTCGGATCTTTGTATTTGATTTTCAACGACTTTTCAGCTGTAGCGCATGGCGCTACGTCTACGAGAAATCTATGAAAGTATTTCGTCATCCAGATAGACACCTTTACAGCTACCAGCCCTGGCTAGATTTTACTGAATGTCAGGATGTTTGACCACCAAGATATTCAATAAATTTTTGTGAAATTATTCCATTAGTTTTTTTGTTATATAAACAGGTTATTTACCATCATAAAATGCAATTGTATACAGCGGGTCCTTTTCTTTACTTCGCACAAGCCATCAGGCTCATAATCCTTAAGGTCAGAGTTAACGCATTTATTTTTTATGTCCTCAGCTAGTTCAGGTCTGTCTTTGAACTTGTTATCAATTTCAGTTTCCAATGCATTCTTATCAATTGTCTCGTTATCAGATACATATCCCAATTTCTTGCCAATGCATAGATCGAGTTCGCACTGTAGAAAAAAAAACAATAGCTTGACAAATATGTTCAACGTTCGTGCTCGTAAGATGAAATTTTATATAAAAGGTATCCTAAAATTCACACAAGTAGTAATTTTGATAGAAATATAAATACTGGTTTATAATTAAAAATTGTATTTTTTTTATCGATTTCAAAAACATCAAAGAAAAATTTGGATGAAGTGAAGTTTTAATAAGACGGTGCCACGCGCCATAGAGCACGTGAAACAACGCAGTTACTCCACGAGTCATTTCCTGGACGTGTAATTTCCCGTTTCGGTAATTAGAATTGGCCGCCCAAATCATTACTTTTTTTGGGGTATTTTGAAATCGAAGGTTTATATGCCAACAAGCCCACGACCACCCACCGCCTTGAAGGAGGATATTGAGTGCTGTAACAACGTGATTTAATTATTTTTCCGGATTTCAATGGCGTATTTTTGTTTTTTCAAACAAACCAATGACCATGGGTCCTGTAAATGGCCCGAAACGTTGGTTTGATTGAAAAAACAAATATACGTCATTTAAATCCGGGAAAGTAGTTTCATTTCCTATGTGTAACAATTGCGAAAATCTAAGAACTCGACATGAAGCCTTAGAGTTATTAAATTCACATTCATCCCAAAGTTTGCAAATTGTCCAGCGGTTTAACTACACGCCGCGCCCACTGTCTCGTCAGTTGGAATCGGGCGCTTGTCAACACGAATCTGTGTCGATTTTTCTCGGCCTGTTTTTATTTTATTCATATTCATTTACAGCACGTGGATTGCGGAACGCGAAGTGCGAACCCCCCACCCCACCTCCTAAAATCTATGCTCGCTATATTAAATTAGATGTTTGTAGAAGCGATGCAGTGGCATACTGTGTGGCGGCAGCCGTGTCTTTGTAGCGCCTCAGTAACCTTTACTTCACTAATCATGACTTTTTTTAAGGATACTAAGAGACGGGGCGAACAAGTCGTGTGCCCGATGGTAAGCGACACGCCTGTCCATAACAGTTGTAGTGCCACTCAGAGCTCCGAGAGTGGCACTATAACTGTAAAATTTCCAAGATCTGAGAGGCAATGCCATTGCGCCCGTCACGCGGAGAGATAATTTGAAAAGTCCCATGTACCTATAATTTCACCAGCTTCCTTATTTTTCAAACCTGGAACGCAGTAATGCTCACATTACTGCTTGGCGGCAGAAATAAGTAAGGTGGCAGTACTTCCCTGGACGAACTCTTTCACAAGGAGCTCTACTGCAACTAGACTGTCTATGTACGACAGTGGCGCGCCACTACGTTTTTAAAGGATTGTATAAAACTTAGTAATGGCTTGGCTACAAAGCCAAAGAGGCGCCACTGCAGTGTTTGTAGTTCACTTCAAGGCGTCGTTATCGTTCCTGCAGTTAATTTGAAATAGAATTATAATGATGAAATAGAATTATA